TTGTTCAAATAAAAAAAATATATATATCCGTGGATCTCTACAAAGTGTGTATGCCGTTGAGCGCGGGTGTGTGTGTACGAAACATGTTGTCAAGACGTAGCTAATGATGTCAGTCCCCTTAAGATGAACTAATGTGTATTAATTGAATAATTGTGGTTTTAATAAATCTCTGTTTGGATCAGTGTGACGGTGGTGATTTCATTTTCATAATTTTAATTTCAAATGAATAAAACAACATAAATGCCGGATTTGTTTCGATATTAATATAGGAACTGTAGACGATAAAAGTGGCTAAAAGTCCGCATCACCCCTCCTGCAAACATAAAAACACAAGAGAAGTGTTATTTGATTTCATTATTTATTTATTTTTTAAACGATCAGGAAAAAATCTTTATTTTTGAATGTTTGCTTGCTGACACAGGAGGCGCACATTAGTCACAGTGCGTAAACAAAAATCGAACAAATTCAAGTGTAACACGCATAAACTGATTTAGTTCTCGGTTATAACCTCACCACGTTGTCAAACCCGAGACCATGAGACAAGCTTAGCATTTAAATCTAAAAAACAAAAAAAACAAAACTGTGGACCCCGCAGGGTGATCACAGGACACCTGAATGACAACCAGACGCTCGGTCAGTTTTTGATATATATTAAAAATTTTATAGGGTGTGGGCGGGAGGGGGGAAGCAAGCTGTCAGATAATATGTTCCGCGAATAGATTTCGATGGGAGGAGTTTCTTGCCTCAAGGGGGTAGGTAAACGCAAACACCTTCAGCATCTTTTCCAAGGCGTGCTTTAATGTGGAGCCACAGCCGTATGGCGACGCGTGGGGACAGGGGAGCAGTCTAGCGTCTAAACGGAGTTTTCCTCTAACATGGGCTTTCACCGCTTGGACGTGGCAGGTGATGCCAACTTTCACACACTTCTCTGACCTTTTGATCGCTTCGCTGATCGGGTAAGGCTCTGATAAACTGTAACAAACGGAGACTTGGTGTTCATTTCAAAAGTTACCATCATCATCATATTTCTGAGCCTGTTTGGCGCACAGCGGGGGGAGATTTCTTTACTTTACAGTTTTGCTCAAGTTAAGTTTTAGTTAATCAGTCCACTTGTTTTCCACTAAAAGGACTTGCATCTAATGATGCTCCTCTTCATTGTGTCTCTTTAGGATTTTATCACTTTTAATATTAAAATTGATGTAAAAGAAAAACCTCTTTATTTTGTTTTGGATTTTTTGAAGGGAAGGAAATAGGAAAGGGCTTTTTAAAATGTTTATCTGTCTGCAGTGAGTCAGGAGGCGCAGCTGGAATGCAAGCACAAGAAGTAAATTGCGTTAGGCTGTAACTTGATCAAAAATGGAAGCCTGCTGGCTCACTTTCAGACAGCACACAAATGTGTAGTTACATTTTATCAACAGGCCTAATTTTTATTTATTTTTTGCTTCTTTTCTCTCCTTGAACACGCTTCATGCAGGAACGGCTGAAGCCAGACCCTATTAAGGGTGGGGGGAGATTCCGAGTTATATTCACTGGTCGAGACTGGACTAATCATGCCAATCTTGGAGAGAGGGACGGCGAGAGACCGAGACAGCCAAGTATGAACACACACCGCTGCTTCTTTAAGTCAGCTTTACTTTTTTTGTGCCGAGCGCCGCCCGTGGTGCCTAAGTTGGCAAAGTAAGGGTACTGGCTTTCAGCACCACGGAAAGCGCCAGCTTCATTTGCCTAACTGGCCGCTAGGGGCAAAAAAAACCCCTCATTCGTGAACATAGAAAGTATGTTCAAGACACTATAGCACACATTAATTTTGTGCAGAAATTTGATCAAAATGATGCAGCAGACTATAATATAACAGAGACAATGCTGCGTTTACAGGGTCAAACCAGTGCTTAATTAAATTTATTTATTTATTTATTTATTTATTTATTTATTTATTTATTTATTTATTTATTTATTTTCTAAATACCAATTAAGGACCTTCTGAAAATATCTAAAGATTTCCAAGAATTTGCAGATACATTGTTCTGCATTTGCACTGCACGTCTCCATATTATAATCTTGGCTTACCAACAGCATGCAAATGACCAAACATCACACAGATAATATTATCAATTTGAACTTACCTCATGGGTAATTTGCAATGCACAGGAGACTGTGTAGTTTATTCTCAAATTGGCCTTGAAGCAGTTAAAATGCATTATTAACTTAGGTTCTAATAATAAACGACTGCTTTAGCTAATGAACACTGAATCCCATTAAAATGCTGACAGTTGCTTTCCTTCCATTACTCTTCGTGTGATGTTTTTTGTGATATCAGGTGCTGCCAAAGGTCCCCGTTCCCCTGCTGAAACAAACCCTTGACACTTACTTGAAGTGCGTTCAACACCTGGCGAAGGAGGAGCAGTTTAAGAAAACAAGGGCCATCGTGGAGAAGTTTGGGGCTCCTGGGGGCGTGGGAGAGACTCTCCAGAAGAATCTTTTAGAGAGGAGGGACAAGATGGCAAACTGGGTAAACACAGACCTAACAGATGAAAAGTTGTTTGTGTGCATGAACAGGAAAAATTACAGTGTGCATCCTACTTCTATCAATAAGGAGCTTCTGTATTGTTTTGACTTTATGACTATATAAATACCTGCATGTGTTTTTGCACTGTTTGTTAGATAGTTGAATTGCTGAAATCAGCTGTAAATTATTTTATTTAGGATAAAAAATTAGTTTAAAAAGTCTTAAACTCCGTGATAAACATTTATCCCTGCCTCCGCTTGTGCTTTGTCTGGGTGATCGGTCAGTCCACTAGACATCCAGCTCAGTGAAATCTATCACACTCCCACTCTCACACTAGCACCACTCTCCCACTCTCCTTTTCATCTGGCAGTGATACACTGTAATGGCTTTTTACTTCACTGCACAGGTCTCAACTCTGAAAGTAATAACTTGAGTCCAAACACATTTAACAAAGAAACATTTCTCAAAAACTGTCCCTGTGTTCACATTTAGGTCTATGACTACTGGCTGGAGGACATGTACCTGAACAACAGGTTGGCCCTGCCAGTCAACTCCAGTCCTGCCATGGTGTTTCCTAAGCAGATGTTTAAAGATCATAAAGACGCCCTCAGGTATGTTCTGGACTTCTGCTATGATGACTTTTTTTTATTCACCCTTCCTTTGGAGGTTGTAAAACCAAAGTTTTTTTTAGAATAAAAGGTCAAACTAATCAAAATCGAAGATGCAGATGTTTCCATTTCGGTATTTAAATTCTTTAGCAGGTGATATTTGAGTCAGATAAACATCCAAATTTAGTTTGATTCTCTGTAAGTTGTCTTTCTAGGTGTCTATCAAGGGAATGAATGACAAAGAAGCATATTTATCCAGAGGGGAAAAGTCTCAATAAGTCAGAACAAAAATAAATATAGCTTTCTTTTATTAACAGTGAATCTACCTTTCAATTACTGTCTTAAATAACAGATTTTTTTAAAATTTGAAAACCATCCGAAATCATGAGTTTATTTTTCTATATGATCCAGAAAACACAAGCTGGAACCTTTAAATAGTTGTTTTAAATGTATGTAAATGTGCTGAAAATATTCTTTTACTTATTATTACTGTTATTCTCTGATCATCTATCCTTAAAACCAATATTCTCTGTCAAGCTGCAAGCAAATGTGGGAGAACTACAAAGTAACTCACTTAATATGTCACACAATGACTGAGCATAAAGTGAGTGTGCGCTGTAAGTTCTGTACCAAAGGAAAAAAAGGCCACATGCTGAATGTTGCACACAATACTGCGCAAACACATAATCAGCTCTTTAGCTGCTGACAGATTTTTATGTTCTTTTGTATAGATGCAGACTCAGATTATTATCTGAATTTTACAGTCATGGAAAGAATCTTTGACCGTTATTAAATGAGCTGTGGTCTGCCAGAAATTACACCGGTCCATCCAGCCCTGTAGCTCAACATTAGCTTTTGTCAGCTTGCACAGCCACTAAGTGAATATTTCCAGAGCACCCCAAGCAGCTGGTAATCTACTGACACGGCCACTTATTAGATTGGGAGTGACAGGGCCAAGCTCTCCACGGAGACTCTTAGTCAGGCCTCATTTAGGGGTGTGGTGCACTGAGGCTGCCTCCTTTGTATTGATCTGGCTTTGAACGTAATAACACCAAGACAAATGATATACAACATGAGACCTGACAAGCCGCTGCGTTTTCCCTCTTTGCCCACTCACCCACTCACACATACAGACCGGCTCTCTCCCTCTCGCAGATGAACACACGCAACTCTCACACTGTATCCCAGTAATTCACCATAATGTGATTACTGTTAGTTCTTTGAGAGATGGGAGTATATGTAATTACAATCACAAGCCATTCTGCTGTATAACTTTGGTGTTTCACAACAATACCACTTTCAAATTTCACCCTCCTTCTTGCTCTTTTAAGATTTGCCGCCCGTCTCATCAGTGGAGTTTTGGAATACAAGGCTCTCATCGATACGTAAGTTCAACCTGCAAGCTATGTGGATTGAAGATTAAAACCAAAATTATATAATAATGAATCACAAGTCTTTTCATAGGTGATCTGGTGTGTGTAAAAATGTCTCTCAGGCGATCGCTGCCAGTGGATTTCACTCGAGGCCAGCTAGCTGTCATGCCTATGTGCATGGAGCAGTACTATCGCCTCTTCACCTCCTACCGCTATCCGGGGTTAAAGACAGACACGCTGAAGGTCCAGATGAAGGCAGCATCCTCAGCACTGGAGCACATGATTGTGGCATGCAAGAATCAGGTCAGGACACTGGCCGTTGAGGAGACTTCTCACACTCAGTAATACTGCTGATTAAAGAGTGTTTTCTGTCCATTTGAGAGAATACATATAGAGTGACATACAAGTCAGTTTCTATGTAGCAGAGATGCTCAAGTCAGATTTTAAAGTAAGGACTAGTCTAAGCACCTTTACTTGAGTGAATATAATTATACCTTTTTTTTCCCTGTGGTAACAGTAAATAAAGAAACCTTTTCTACACCCCTCTCAAATACAGAAAAAAAGCTAAGAAAAATAATAATTGTAAGTAAAGTCATTATTGAAAGGAATCTGAGAAACTTACCCAATGTACCCACTACTGCACCTCCTGAGGATCATCTTATAGACCTTTTGCATGAAGGACAGATAGAACAGAATTAGACCTGTTAGTTATTTGACTAATTTTAATTCTGCTGTAACAGGGGAGTCAGTTCTTTCTCAAAAAGCAGCACCTGCTATGAAAGTGTGACTATCTGTGGCTGACTGTGTCTATTTGAATATTTAAACTGGCCAAAGTTTCATACTGGGACAAGACGGACCAGGAAGTACTAAAAAGGAATTGTCATAATAGACAGCATGTAGCGGTAAGGTAAGCTATAGTTTCACAGCAGGAGCCAGGTGACAGAAGTCATTTAAATCCCCAATAAGGCTCTCCTACTTGACTTTTATAGTTTAACTGCTTTATTTTAAACCCAGCTTTTAACCCAGCTTTAAAATAAAGCAGGTAAGAATTGTGTGTGTGTGTGTGTGTGTGTGTGTGTGTGTGTGTGTGTGTGTGTGTGTGTGTGTGTGCGTGCGTGCGCGCGCGTGTTTAGATATTTTCGTGAGGACCAAAAACTATACTTGCTACTATACTTGTGCTACTATACTTGTGGGGACCAACAGTCTCTTAAGGGGACAAAATAGCCGTCCCCACGAGTTTAAAGGCATTTTTGAGACTCAAGATGTGGTTTTAGTGTCAGGGTTACAATTAGGTTATAGTTAGGTTTAGGCATTCAATTTTGATGGTGAGGTTTAGGATAAGCGGCTAGGGAAAACATTATGTTAATTAGATGTCCTCACTAAGATATTAAAACAAGTGTGTGTGTGTGTGTGTGTGTGTGTGTGTGTGTGTGTGTTCCTGTCTAGCTATCTTTGTGAGGACCGAAATCTGCATTCTACTATGCTTGTGAGAACCAACAGTCACTTGTGAGGACACACTCACCGGTCCTCACAAGTTTGAAGGCCTTTTTGAGGCTCAAAATGTGGTGTTAGTTTCAGGGTTACAATTAGGTTATGGTTAGGTTTAGGGTAAGGGTAAGGGTTAGGAATTCATTTTTAATGGTTATGGTTAGGGTAAGGGGCTAGGGAAACCATTATGTCAATGAAGGTCTTCACCAAGATAGCTGAACGGGCTTCTATGTGTGTGTGTGGTCTTTTCCTTACCTATCATCTAACACAATCCCCTGTACAAAACAGCCTGTACTCATTATCATCTCATCTCAGAGTCACATCAAAGTCACCGATCCACATTCAAACACATGCCACCAACATCTGCAGCATCTATAGCCCATGGCTAATATATTGATTTTTATGAAGGTTAAGAATGAGACTGCAAATTAACATGGAAAAACTCAGGAACTCTCCCCTGGAAATGATTCTGGGAGCCATCAATCTGTAGCCTCTAAGGGCCCGTCCCTATGGAGATACAGCGAGTTAACTTAATTACTGCAGATTAAATCGGCCACTTTGTCTGAGAGCTTCCTTGAGTCGCATGTTAAACTGATCGTGGAAGAGAAGCAGGTAATTGGCCCTTCTCAGTCCCTGTCATTATTACTAATGTCGTTATTATCTCAGCTGTTCAAACAGTAGCCGTAAGGTTAGCTATAAAGCGCAATTAGCATGCAAGGAAATATTTTAACTTAAATATTCTCTTGTCGAGTTGAATCACCCTGGTGAAGCTGTACTTGATGGAACAGTTGAGAGACTTGTGATTGCTGTAATTTATTTTTCTCACTAGTTTTTCGTGTTGGATGTAGTCGCAAACAGCAAGCAGCTCAGTGAGGAGGAGATCTTATCCCAGCTGGAGAAGATTGTGAAAATGTCTGAAAACGCTGAGGAGAAGCTCCCCCCTTTTGGCATCTTGACATCTGATGGAAGGACAGAATGGGCGCAAGCTAGAGAGGCACTAATAAAAGGTCTTACCACAACTTCATTCTTACTCAATTTAACATTTTAATCAAATTTTTTTAGAAAAAGCAAATCCAGGACATGGGTTTCCTTCTTTCATCTGTCCAGATCAGATCAACAGGGACTCTCTGGCACTGATTGAGAGCTGCATCTGTGTGGTGTGTCTGGATGAGCCCAGCGGCCTGCAACCCAGTGACACCAACAGGGCCCTGTTGATGCTACATGGTGGAGGACATGAAAAGAACGGTGCAAACCGCTGGTATGACAAGTCAATGCAGGTAAGACGATATTGCAGGTGCTTCAGTTTTCCATGACTTTAAAATTTGGATAATCATTTAATCCCCATTTTCTCAGTTTGTTGTAGGCATGGATGGGATATGTGGAGTGGTGTGTGAGCATTCACCATTTGAAGGGATCGTTCTGGTGCAGTGCTGTGAATACATAATGAAATATATGTAAGTTAGCCCACTGTAGCAAGACAGGCTGCACACTGAATATGGTCATCTAAATGAATGCTGATGAGGCCAGAAGTGTCTGAAAGAAACGTGTTGTTGTTCTGAACAGAATGGAAAGTCCTTCCAAGATGGTCAAGTCCTCCAGCTATAGAGAGGTTCCTCCTCCAAGGAGGCTACGCTGGAAATGTAACCCACATATCCAAGGACTCTTAGCAGCATCTGCAGAGAGATTGCAGAGGCAAGACTAGCACAAACACACAACTACAATTATAAATAAGTACAGATTTTTTTGAGACTGGAAGTCACAAAAATCTACTGTTTTCTTCTTCAGGCTGGTGAATAATCTTGACATGAATGTTTTCAAATTCAAAGATTATGGGAAAGAATTTATCAAGCAGCAGAAGATGAGTCCAGATGCCTTCATACAAGTTGCCTTGCAGCTTGCATTTTTCAAGTAACAAATATTCAATGTGTGATATCATAAGCATATCTCTAATTGAACTGTTTGCCATCAAGGTGCAATTTCAAATCATGTCTGCCCTGCACTTAGATGCACTGGAAGGCTCGTGTCCACTTACGAGAGTGCATCAATTCGGCGTTTCCAAGAAGGTCGCGTAGATAACATTCGCTCAGCGACCGCCGAGGCCCTGGCCTTTGTAAAGTCTATGGCAGATGAGAGGGGAGCGTTCTCTGTGAGTCATTTTTCTCACTTCCGCTTTAATTACTAACTCCCACTTTACTGCTCATCGCGCCTCACTTATGAAACAGGTGCGACTGGCAACCTTGGCAAGGAAAAGTCAGTCAACCAGATGATCCCCCTGAAGATTTAGCGGATCTATGAAAAATGGCTGGCTTTGCTGCTGTCTCGATGCAACAAATGTCCTGTGTCCACTTTTTTTTTCATTGAATGACTTTTCTTCTCTGACAGGACTCAGAAAAGATGAAGCGACTGGGGGATGCAATTAAAGCCCAGACAAGTTATACAATTGCAGTGAGTATTAATCCAAAGTTCTCACCACACCAGCCAAGAAATGGTCGACATGTGCAATAAAGCATGCTATGTAATTAGCTTTAAAAGTACTGGTAGATTCTAGATTCTAGATTCGATATCTATAATGCACAGATGGAAATTCTACATTAATCTCCTCATCTAATTTTTGGTAAAAAAAAAATTAGAACAAGTTTTACTTCCAAAATTCTTTTTTTTTTTGGTTTTGCCCCAAAAATGACAGTAAGAGGCTGGTGAAAGCTTTGATGAGGCTCTGGTTGTGGCTCAGCTGTATTTCAAAGAACAGTGAGCCATATTTCTGGGATAAAGAAGTCCGTTTTAGTGAATGGATGTGGAAAAGTAACTATTCATAAAACCCTTAAATTGTCAAAAATATGTTTTTCAGGCGATTACAGGAATGGCGATAGACAATCACCTCCTTGGACTTCTGAGGATCGCAAAGGAGCTCAACATGGAAAAGCCAGAAATCTTTTGTGATGAGACATATCTGGCCAGTAACCACTTCATCCTCTCTACCAGTCAGGTACTACATAATCATATGCTATTAAAATATATATATAATTGATACCAGAAATACAAATCCTCTGCAGAACCTACACTCTTCAAGTTATACGTTTCCCTTTATCGGGACAGATGAAACACCAGATGTTCCATGGAGACAAAAAGAGAAATACAGATGTTTCTCTGCTTTTCCACAAACTAAGAATGAAAAAGAAAAAAATGATGTGTTAATATACCTGTAAAGCACAAATAAATCTGCTATTGTGTTTTCTGCAATTTGAGGATACTCGTGTGCATTTAATTCAAGTTAAGCCGCTGTGGAGTTTTTTAAGGGCAAATTTTCATTCAGTACCACACTTTATAACCAACAAAGACAATCAAGAACAATGAAGAGACCTCTTAAAGAGAATCACTAAACCATAAAGTAATTATTTTAAAGCAGTAATGGAGTCTGCAAATGTGCACGTGCCAATTTCCAAACTGCAGAAGCCTAATTAAAGATATTAGGTTTAAGGAGATGCGGAGGAGAGAGGGCAGTGGACTTTTTCACCACATCGTTTGTCACAACCTTAGAGACTGAGATGACGTCTGATGAATGGAGAACAAGTGTACTGGTAGCAGTTTTTAAAAACAAGAATTATGTGGACATCTATAATAACTACAGAGGGATAAAGCTGATGAACAACACCATAAATAAATGGGCAAGAGTTGTTGAAGCTAGGTTAATAAGAGAGAGCCCCTTCTTGTTTGCAGTGGTGATGGACAGGTTGACAGATGAGGTCAGGCAGGCGTGTAGATGGACTATAATATTCGCAGACAACATTGTGATGTGTAGTGTGAGCAGGGAGCAGGTGGAAGAGAGCCTGGAGAGGTGAAGGTATGCGCTTGAGAATAGGAATGAAAAGGAAAAGAAGCAGATGTTTGTGAATGAGACGGAGACAGGTGTATCAGTGAGGCTGCAAGGAGACATAGTTAAGGTAGACGAGTTTAAATACCTATATGGTCAACCCTCCAAACCAATGGACAGCCCACAAAAGAGATAGAGAAGGGATGTATGGGTGGGTGGGTGCAGATAGCAGCAACAGTGAAAGGGAAGGTTTACAAGACGGTAATAAGGCCTGCTATGGTGTTTTTAGTGAGATGGTAGATGATCCACTAACAGCTTAAAGAAGAAGAAAAGGAAGATGACAATGATGATGTTGTTTATCCAACCA